CTAAAAGTAAACTTTCAGTTTTGCTCACTGAAAAATCCGCCTTCTTGCCTGCTGACCGGATTGCTTGTTTTTTTGCGTAGAAACTCTAATTTTAATTGTAAATTTTTTTTATTGTTTTAACTGTATTTGGTGTTTTATGTTTTTCTATATCTTTCAATTTTTAATTAAAATATTTTGAGTTTTTATGTATTTTTGCCTTGCCTTGAAATGAGAACTGAATTATTTGAATAAAGAAAGAGCTACAACTTTAATGAAATTCGAAGAAATAAGTTTAAATAAAATGTAAGAAAAAATGTGTATATTTTAATATTCCGTAGAAGGAAGACACGGGGTGTCCGCGTCAGATTTTTAAAATATGCTACATTATGGAGCAAATGGGGGAAGCATTGGTTCTTCCTCGGCCGCCACTTGAAAACGTGAAAACTTTCTCGATTTATGATGTCATTACATCATCCTCTTTTTCTTGCTCCTGCTTAGATTTCTCTAAAATTAATTTTGTTTATGCATTTATTAATCTCACGCCCCTTTCTGCAAAGAATTATTTGGAAAGAAATTGAGTTTCTTATAGAAATCTTCTGCCGTTATATAAATATTATTTCGCTAGATTAGTATTTAAATTATTTGGTATGAAATCTATGGAAACATTTAAAAGTTTTGCATTTTATAATTTTATATACATTTCCTCAGCGTTTTATTTTAAAATTCGTTTTTTTTTTTTAAATTTTACTATAGTAATGTTCTGTTATGAAACTTCTAAAATTATAATTTCCGAAAATGTAACTGTTACAAAGAGTTGAAATTTTCAATTTTTTTTAACTAGCCGCATTTTTCTGTGCTTTTATTCATCTCGCTCATGATGCTTGTTACTATGATCAAAACGTTTTTGCCAAATTTGAAACTATTTCCTGATAAGCTATGGAGCTCAAATTTTGCACACACACTTATGGTCGAAGATAATACAATGTGATGAAGCATTTTTTTCTAAAATGTTTCAGATGTCTTAAATTTAATGTTGAAATGATTTTTCGCACAAATTTTCGTTTAATGAACAAACTAAAGCTCTCAAAATTTCATTGTTTGAAACGTCGGGCAAAGCGGAACAAAATCTTTTAAATGAAGTTTACGTGAGAATTTATAAGGTAATTTTTTTATTTTTTGGCAAACTGTCTTGATTGTTTTTGACTATTTGACGCAACAGAATTGCTAGAAAGAAAGTAAAGTGGAACCTCGAGATACAAGCACCTCTGTATACGAGAAATTCGAGATGCGAGGCGAAACATTCGGCTCTAAATACGAGCATTGACTCTAATAACGAGCAACGAGGCAGGCCGTTGGTATGCATGGCGTGTTACCCAATCCGTCTCGACTCGGAAAATTCCCTCGTCAGATCACTCAGTGTTCTTTGATTAACCGTGTTTGTGCGCTTGTGAGTTAATTGTTTTTTACTTTTAATGTGAAAATAACTATTTCGAGATGCCTCACAAGAAGATTGTTGCCTCAGATAGTGCTGCAAAGAAAAAGATGGAAGTCATGGCCGTCGAAATAAAGAAAGAAATCATAGATAAACATAAGCGTGGTGTAAGAGTGACGGAATTGGCGAAGACTTACGACCGTTCGACATAGACGATCTGCACTATTCTGAAGAAAGAGGAAGAAATTAAGAAATTTGATGTGGCCAAAGGAGTTACCGTTACATCCAAGCACCGTCCAAAACTCCTAGAATTTGAGAATCTGTTGTCGGTGTGGATTAACGAGAAGCAGTGTAAAGTCGATTCGGTGTCGGAAGCTATCGTTTGCGCTAAGGCTAAGAATCTGTACTTGGACCTTCTCCGTAAAACACCAGGTACTTCGACTGAAGATGAGATGGCAACGAGATGTTTTGGGAGTGCGGAAAGGATTAACTGGATTTCCATTATTTTCAATGGGGAAATTTGTTTCTAGATACGAGAAATCGCTATACGTGCTCAATGATGGAACGAATTGAACTCGTATCTCGAGGTTCCACTGTAAGTGAAAGAGTGATTATTCATTGTTTAAGAAATAACTTTTAAATAGAATAATTTGATTAATGATTTATCATTGAGTCTAAAAAAGCTAAAAATAAACGACTTAAAAAGTCATTAGCATACAATGACGAATCGGTTTAACTCGAATTGGCTTTTATTTAAAGCTCATAAAATAACTGAGAAAAATTATTTATTTAAAAATTATATCTATATATATGTGTGTGTAAGATAAAGATATGCAAAGCAAACTTCTGATTTTGATTGGCAACAGCCCCTTCTACCCTTCCCATTTGGTTATTTCTCTTTACTATTCTAAAAACAGAACTAATTTTAATATATCGATCTAAACAATGTCATTTCAAAAATAATCCTATCCCATGATCTTACGTTACGGTGCAATACAGGTACCTTTTAGTCAATCACTGAATAATAAAACTTTTTTGTTTCTCAACTCTTCATCTGAAGGCGTCACACACTTTCTTGCTTTGCTTGCTTCGTGTTAGGATGTCATTTCTTACCTCTCTCTATATCATCCATTGTATGTGTTGTGATGTATTAAACTTCCAAAAATGTGAAGTACAGACTGCGCCCATGATGATATATGAATCAGAACATGCATCTCGAGGATTCGTCTAGAAGTAATTTATTTGTTGAATCTACAGCTATGTCTGTCTCAAAGTTCCATCTTTGTACGCCGCAATTACGCACTCAATCTGTTCGCCATCTCCCTCTATAACCATTTCGGGATATAAAATTATTTGTCTCTTCTCTCCGCATCCTAAAATATTATACACAATTTGCATTTTGTTATATGTATATCTATATAGCAAGATGCAAATGCGTACAAAAAATCCTTATTATTAAAAGAAATTTAAAAATGCGCAGAAAACTTAAGGAGGATTTGAATTTTTTAAAAACATATTAAGCTACTTTCTTAAGAGGAGGAATACTTTCTTAAAGGACTTTCTGAAAAAAAAAACTGGATAGAGTTCCCCCAGCAAATTAGGAAAACCACGGAAGTGTCTATGCTATCAGCCCGTTCAGTAAGATTTCAGGCCGAATATTATAACCGTTCAGCAGTCTTATCCACCGGGACACTGATGAGGTAACTTCAGAACAAAGTTGGTTGGACTCTTGGCTTGCATTCATTAAGAAAGTTCAATACTCATCGGTCATTTAATCATTTAATCGTCTCATCAATGAGAACATTGTCTAAGATTCGCGACAAAGGGAAAGAAATTTTACACCTGTGAGAATAGAGAGTTTCGTCTATATTCTGACAGAGATGGATCCGAATCTCCCAACCTTTTTTCTTTCCCACCAAATTTCTCGAGAAACGTTTCGGCTCACCAATATTTTGAGTGCTCCCTTGCTGCACAGACATTATATACGTATTAAATTTTAAGCTTTCTTCAAGAATCGAACCCGAGCCAACGATAAAGCAGCTAGGAGCGCTAACTAATATAGGGATTAATGCAGCTTCGTATTATGTAATAATTGTTACAGAATTTTAATAACTTGGTGTGTATAATAAATCAGAATGAATCTATAATTGTATCACATATCAAAGCACTGATCGAACTTGGACCAGACCACATTTTCTCCTACCCCGTCATCTTGGCTGCAATGTAGCAAATTAGTGATCGCCCCACAAAGACCTCTATGAAGAAAATTGCTTCGAAATTGATAAGACGGCGTGCACTGCCCCTAGTATCATCAAACTGACTTCATGGACAAGACAACAAACAAACAATTACTCAAAGCAATGAGCTGACAAATCCTTACAAGTAAATCAACGATTAATTCTCTTACTTGCAAATAAATATAATTAATTTCATTAATTAGTTAACATATGTCAATAAGAAATTTTTTTTAATGTCAATAAGAAACAATTTTTTTAATTCAGTAGATATGAAACAGAGATATTTAAAGTGAATTCAAAACTTTTTAAATAAATATAACTTGAAGCAACGAAGAATTAAAATTGATTGTTTACAGTTTTTAACGAGAGAATTTATTTTAGGGAGGGGGGAAGTCATCGTGCTGCTAAAGAGCTTAATCTTCCTCAAAACTCTAAAATCAATTAACAATTGCTTTTATTGCAATACTTTAATTTTCTGAAACCATAATAGTTATTGAAATGTACTTCTAATACAGTAATTTTTAGTTTACAAGACTCTAACAGCAATTAAGATTTTCCTTTATTAATACATCTGACCTTGTGTTTTGTAAAATTTTAGTGACTATTAGGTATTACAATAGTTTTTATTTTGCAGCTCTGAAAATTGTAATATTTGTCAGGAATTTTATTTTATATTTGTAATCATTTTTGGCAAGAACACGTTGCCAAATCTTTATTTTGCATTTGAGGTAGCACAAACATATTTATTAATAACAGCAGGTAAATTTTGTCAATTAAAAGTATGCATATGCTGATGAAACTTTGAACAAATCAACTTTCACAGCAATATTCAGGAAGTTCATTTAATGCTTTGAATGTGTTTTTATATCAGATATCTCGTTAACTTTTCTGAATAGTAGTGCATGACCATATACTGAGCAAAGGAGCAAAGGGTATCTGCAATAATATACAATTTTTAGCAGACTAAGAATACAACTATGTAATGTTAGTATCTTTTTTTAATAGAATAAACTTGATTTGTTCTCAAAATGCATAAAATAAAACAGAATTACATTTCTGCTGCAGTAAAGGGTGAATATTCTAATTACAGAAAAATCATAAGGAAGTTGAAATGAGAAAACAAATATAAATAATTTTTAATACCTGAATACTTAAAGAAAATGACAAACATATATAATCCATTTAAACAACAAAATGCAATAGTTACATACAGAGTGTCCTCGAATCAAAAGACAAAACAAGGCTAGTTATTACTTTAATTATTCGTGAAAAACTCAATCATTTTTATGTTATACTTGTCATAATGAATATCAGATACGGAAAATAAATGTATTGAGGAAAATGGCATTTACCTTTAATATTACTGTGTACAATCAACTTACATGAAAAGTGTGGTATAAGATGCGAAAACAAGTGGAATTAAGCGAGGTGCCACTTGATGCTCCTTGCTCTTCAAGTGGAGCAAAAAGGAACTACAAAATTCGCTTGCGGCCTCAAAATACAAACGAAAAAAAATCCGAGAAGTGCTATTCGCTTGCAACCAACCATCTCCTTGACAACGGTTGACGTTCATCAATCGCTATTGGTCCATTAGTTAGACAGAAAGATTTTTGTGAAGTTTACGTTCTTGATCATCAAACAATTTTGCCTTCTTAGTATATTCCATACGGTATATGTCTTTTTCCTGTGTCGTCTGCTTGTTTATCGTCATGAAAATATCCCATGTTATTCCTGCGAGGGAAACGGTGGAAATATTGCCCGTGGAATGAGATTAACGTCAATTTCAGGAACGGAAGATGAAAGTTACTTTGCAAAGAGAATCTGAATGTTCTTAATATGACATTACCATCTGTATGGGTATGAGAGATAAATAATAATGCAATTCCGTTTTATTTGCTAGCCACTCTTCGTAAAAATATTTATAAACGAAAAAAAAAAAATAAATAAAACTTACTAAGCTGAGTAACCTGATTTTAGAGTGAATGAACTGATTATAAATTAACTAAAGGAGATTATTTAGGATTATAACAGCAACCTTTTGTAAGGCCTATTTCTTAATTGTTTAACGAAGATTTGGGTTTCTGAGTATATTTTATCAGGCTGGACAACCACACGCAAAAGGAAAGGTACTTATATTTCTTGCAAAGTACATTTCACACGCACTTTGCAGTTTTTCTTTGGGGGGGGGGACGATGAAAATTGTAAATTTAAGACTTTTTATAATATAACATTACTGAAAACTATTACATTCTTAACTATTATATTTAAAACACTGAGTAAATACAATAGAAATAAAGCAACTACAGATTTATTTTTTGATTTCAATTTGATGCACAAAACTGAACCAAACTAACCCAGATTGACTCTCAGTAAATACACGGAATAAAACCAAGAAGTACTTTTAGCCCAAAGGGGCAATTTGCCCCTTTAGCCCAGAAGAGCTATTAATTTTGTTTTGGTACTTTGCTTCGTTCACTATAAAAAGGCGTTTTACTTTTCAGAGTGTTGCTACCAAATATTAGAGCCTTGCATTATATTTAACGGAATTAAATAATGAAAAATCTGCATGAATGTATATGTGCTTCTCGCAGTGACCTCGGTATCTAGAGATATCGAATTTTGAATAACGTAGTCCTCCATCCGAACACTGGCACCCGGAAGCCTACATTTTAAATTTGTTTTAATATCTATTTCATAATTTGTAAAATTTTGCCGAATTTTTCATTAGCGAACTCAAAAACTTCAAGGCGAGCAATGACAACACTGTACGGGAGGAAAAACATTTTTATCTCCAGCACGTGAAACTATCAAAAATTCTAAAAATGTGCTGTTTTTAAATATTTTGTGATATTGCTATTGAATTGAATTTTATGGCTTAAGTGCGAATAACATAATATTTAACAAATAAAGGTAACACACAAAACGTTAATAAACACCTCTTTGGGCGTAATATAAAATCTGAAATCTTTCAGAATGAAAATATAAAATCTGAAAGCCTTCAGATTTGTATTTTATTTTTTATTGTTGTTATTATTGTTATGAATTTTGTATTTAGATAGCTAAAGTTAGTAGAATTATAATTAAAATTGTTTTATTTCCCCGTACAATGTAGCACGAGACATATTTTAAGAGAAAGCTAAGCCTGAAAAGTAAAAATACAGGAGCACGGGAATTTAATATTAATTTGTATTTAAATTGAATAAATGTAATTGACTACTGTGTTAGATGTAATCGTAATTCTACTCTTTTGCTTTCCAGAAATCTCGAGAAGCAAAAAAATTACTAGAATTCGCAGCCGATTGAATGCTTTAAAAAGCCGGAGAGAAATATCTCAGCTCAGTTGTTGTTTAGTTAACTGGTGCTGTTATTTCTGCGTGTTCAGCTTTCTCTGATCTGTGAACGCTATCCACATCCATATACATATCTCGAAAAAATGGTTATATTGTAGCGCAAGAGAATGCCTATGTTCTAACTTCTGTTTGAATAAAAAAGTTATTTTAGCCTTTTAAGGACTATTTAAGATGTTGTACGAATATCTCTGAGGAAAATTCCAGCGTTCTGTTATATTTCTTTTGATAGGAATAAATTTCATTAACATTTTATGGGACTTGTACGTTCAATCGATTACGAGGAACGCAATATGACGAAGCAGTACGCACGCAATATGACGAACGTACGCACGCAATATGACGAAGCAGGCGAGTGTACCTACATGTAAAGAATCTATTAACTAACCAACTATTAAAAATTTTAGTTTTATTATAACTTCTCATTTTTGTATTCCTCACTAGAACGCAAATTAGTAGCGAGTATTCAAAGGATTGTTTGAATTTGAGGCAGAGAGTGGTTCTGGCATCGCGTGCACGCTACGTGGCTAGTTTCCTGCCAGCTTTAATAGTTGTAATAATTGGGCTTTGCTGTTTCTCCCTGCTGACGCTTTAATTTTAATGCTCTGGTAGAGTTAGAGAGCCAGCTTCTAGTAGTATTTAATCAATCCTTGACTACTGTTCAAAGTCTACATTAAATCGAACTGTTCGATTTATTTTTCCTCGTCGTTATCTGGATAATTAGTGTGACTGAGTAATATTTATTTTGCCAATATTTAAACAATGGATGTGCATCATACTTCACCTCATCCATATATATATATACATATCTGGAGTAGTGGTTATATTATAGCACAAGAGAATGCCTTTAAGTTCTAATTTCTGTTTGAATAGAAAAGTTATTTTAACCTTGTCAGAACTATATCAATATTCTCAAACATAGCGATAATTCCTTTCATGTCTGTTAAAGTTATTAAACTAAAATAGATCAAGTATAACCCTATTAGCGGCCGCCGAATCATGTCCCAAGACAAAGGAACAATCAGTCTGCTCATCCCCCCCCCTTGGATTGCAGGCTTCCCCGGCATCAGGAAGTTAAGCGGAAGGCCTTTAGGTTTACCCTAAGCACTATGCGAACTTCGATGAAACCAGCCATTATATTCAATGACAGAATTTTGACAGTGACGTTTCTGAAACAGTTAGAGACGCACTTTTTACTTTTTCTAGTTGCAGAATTGCAGAATGCCATGTTAGCAATCGTCGCGGTTCAAGAACGGGCTCTGAGCAGGTATAAAGGCATTGGTAAATTTTTGTTGGGAGAGCATTCCCAGTGGTGAAAAATAGGGAGAAATTAGAAGCGAAACTGTTTAGTAGACATCAAAGTAAGATTGAAGAGTTGACTAAGTTTGAGGAAAGTACAAGTATAGTGAATTTATTGGATTGGAAAAAGCTCGAGGTAGAGGTTATCCAAATAATATTACACAGGTTGTTGTTTAGGATTCAGCATTTTGTTGAATTACGAAACTCGAACACTCTAGCATAGTTAATTGAGCTAGCAGTGAAGTTCGAATGTAGGCGAATATCAATGCGTACACGCAGAGCGGGATCCGAGCAGAGGTCGAGCGGACATTTTCGTAGATCTGTAGCGAAAGGAAGCCCAATGTTTGAAAATTTGAAGACAGACGTTTTGAAAATCGGAAGACATTTCCATCGACTGATAGTGATCGCCAAAGTAAGTCACAAAAGAGGAAACTAGAATAGATTCTGATATTAAGACTTTAAACTAGACAGCGGTACTGAAATACAGATGGTACATTCGTTCTTTAAAAGGAAGAAAAATCCCTCTTGAATCCGATTGAGTGCGGTGTTGATATTTGTCCCTCGAAGTAATTCAAATTCTATTAAATAACGTATGTAAGCACGATTGTAAATTATTTAATTGTTATTATACAAAATATCTATTGAGAAAATGGCAACAGCTAGTTTCTGGATGTCGTTCTATTTATAATTTTAAAAAAGATATTCAGATGATGTACACTTGAAATGTTTAATGGTACGATGCAATAAGTACGCTTGTTATGTTATGTGCGTTTACGAATACGTTACGTGTAGGTTATTAAGATTTACCTTTAAATAAATGTTTGTTTGTCTTTTACAACCATTTTATGAGTGATTAATTTAACTACAAAAAGGAAGTTAACATGAATCAGAAGCGGGATTATTCTGAAACCTAAGCCTAAAGCTACAAGAATTTGCTATACGAAAATAAATTGAAAAAAAATTGAATTTCAAGGTATATGTGCATTGATTGATGTAACATATTTATTATAGAATTTAATTTTGTTATTTTTTTATCATTTTGGAAAGAGAGTTTTTTTTTTTTTTTTTCATTTCTTTAAATTTTGAAATATATTTAGAACGTCAAACAAACTTATAAAATATCAATAACTGTGTTCTACTAAGTTTTCTAATTGGAAGTTAATAATAATAGCATATACTATATATAATTATGCATTTATAAAATGTTAATTTAAGATTTAATGAGTACGAAATGTCTATTTTCGGTAAGGCAAAGAAATGCGATTTAAGAATATTAGCTGAAGAATTGGGAGAAGATGTAAATGAGAGTCATAAAATGAGCGATTTGAAAAAGATAATTTTGGCTAGCAAAGAGTACGATGAAGAATGCATCAAAGAATAATTAAATATTATAATAAAGGAAAGAAAAGAAATTGAAGAACGAAAACGTCAAGAAGAAATTGAAGAACGTAGGCGAAAAGAAGAAATTGAACGTAAGCGTAAAGAAGAAATTTAAGAACGTAGGCGAAGAGAAGAAATTGAAGAACGAAATCGTCAAGATGATGAACGTAGGCAAAGAGAAGAATATGAGGAACGAAAACGAAAGTATGAAATGGAATTTGAACTGCAAAAACTACTTACTGAAGCAGAAAGTAAATCTACAAATTCTGGCACCAATGAAAATGCTAGTGGTGCACACATGAATCCAAAGTTAGAGCTTCATCGTTTGATGCAAAAATTTAAACCTGACGAGAATGATATCAGTTTATATTTAATCATGTTTCAACGTTTGGCTAAAAAAAATTGAAATACCAGAAAATACATGGGTTACTCATTTGTTTGGCTTATTGCCGTAT